TGAAGGATCCGTTTGGCACCACCCTACTCTCCAGTAGTCTGGATGGGATAAAAGAGGCAGAAAGACTCTCTTGTTGCTTTGTTGCCTTTGTTATCTTCTGGCCACCATGAGCTGTTTCTCCTCTGCCAGGCCTGTCTGCCATACCACCGTGCCTTGGAGCCAGCCAGTTATGGACTGAAACCTCTATGTACTGTACGCTAAATAAACCCTTTCCCCTTTAACTTTGGGTGTCGGGTATTTTGCCTCAGGAGAGAGAGAAAAGTAACTAACACGTTTGGGATGGAGGAACAGGAATGGGCTGCCACCAAAATCTGAAGAGCTGACCCTGAAGAGCTCAGCTCAAAGCACAGGAGGCCGCTCTCAAATGATTTCCTAGAAGCTGCTGCAAGTCTCTGATTGTTTTGTAGAGCTCTTATTCCTGCCCCAGTCTGCAGTGGAGTTTTCCACAGACTCACTGGGAAGCTGCTGACTCTCACCTGTTCTTATATCTGCCTCCAGTCAACTCTGGAGAGTAATTTTCTGCTTCTCTCTGCTTTCCAAAACCTTTAAAATTCCTCTTATTGGGAATGCCTAAGAGATCATATAAAGATTCTGGGAAATGCTTTCATTCTGTCTTAAAAGGAAGTCATAAACAATCTATCATGGTGGTCTACATATAACAATCATTTTGTGGATGTTTTGCAGTCATTAGCTTTTTAATCTCCATGGCAACCTGATGATGTAGGCACTGTTATTGTTCACATGTAGCCAATAGACTATTCAATGTCAAAATGATTGAATGCCTTGTTCAAAGTCACATTGTAAATAGGAGATATGTGATTCAACACACTGTCCATCTAGTTTCAAAGCCTGGATGTCTATCACTACCATTTCCTGTATCTTCTACTGCATTTTGTAATAGTTGTCAATGTTACTGATATTGGTAGTTATGCATTAAATCTTCTGTTGATGGCAACAGTTAGTATGTTTTGTTTGCAACTTGAATGTTCCAGGTATATCTGGCCTGTGAGTGTTAACAGGATCACATTAAAAAACATGCATTTTATCAACCCCTTAAATCCTTAGTGTAGAATGTACATAAATATTTCATTCCAGGGCAGGAGTCTTATTAGCACTTCCATAGTTTGCTTATATACACCCACAGCTAAAATGTCCCAGAGAATTTCATGCTATTATTCTTACACTGATGATAAGAACTGCAGATGAGCCTCCTGTCTCTTCCTTGACACTGTTCCCTAAAATGTTCAGCCTCTGTACCTGAGACTGGCTTCGTGATCCGGCATGCTTTTCTTCTTAGGGTGAATGATCCTTGTGAAACTGCCTGCAATCAATGTCTTGCTACAACTTGACATTCTAGCTGAACAACTCTATTCTCACCTCCTCAAATCTATCAGCCCCTCAGATCTATTTTTGTATTTCTAAATCCTAGAGCTAGAAAGAAATCAATCTTTTTATTGCAAGGAACATCTTTGCAAATCAAGGATTTAAATTTTCACGCCTGAGAAAGGGATTTCTGCAAGCACAAGCCCTCACATTCACTTGAGTCCTAATGCTAGTGGATGCATGGATTAAGTGAGATAGGATAATTCTTCTTTTAAATAGAATTGTCTAAAAGTGGATTTTGCCCAATTAAGATACTCAACATATACTATTGCAAACATTAACTATTTTCATTTTGCTTATGACTGAATTTGTTCCGTGTCTTTAATCTCATATATTTATTAATGGAATATAAAGGTTTCCAAAACTAGTTACTAAACTGATAATATTTGTAAAATGTAATAGAGATTACTCAATTTATTACATTTACTCCAGCTTCGAAAGAGAACATAGGGACATTCTTCTTCTTTGTTTTAAAAGAATCCATCCAATTTGAAGGGTAAAAATATAAAAATAAGAAACCACATGAGATCTCCTGATGTCTGAAGAAAGTATTGTGTATGGAGCTTTACTGCACTTAATTATTTTAAGCTCACTACCCAGTCTTTCTCTGATGAGTAATCTAGTTAGTTCTTCTTAACTTTCTTTCCATCCTCCAGTGGCTTTTGTAATGTACAGTGATTTCAAATAAAATTTAATTCATCTCTCCTATGGATGCAACATCTAAATTATTAAATTGTATCCCACTGATGTATAATTGTCGTGTAACTGAACCTTGTATTGCTTCATGATTATTATTACAACAGCAGAAGGACAATCACTTTAGTTATCAAGATAATAATTAATTGAGATGTTTCCATAGCAGAAATAATTATGACCTATGGCAACTGGTTGTTTGCTTACCTGTTTTGTAGAATGTAAAAAATACATATGCTAAGCGCAAGGACCCGAGTTTGATCCCTGGTACCAAAAAAAAATACATTTGCTTGCTAAATATTTTGCATTACAATGTACTAATGGTAGATGCCCTTTGTGCTTTTGAGTTCCAACTCTGTTCAATCTGCATAATTTTGAGAACTATGATTTTATTCAACTCTCTAAAATCAACTTGGGATCTTATGTATACAACTCATTTGGCCTCTACTTAGATCAATTTGGATGTTTCGAGGTGGTTATAAATGTAAATAAATATATTTGAAATAATAACATTTTCTTGTATGGGAGATCTGAAAATTATATTTTGCTGGGCTAAAAAATTTATGAGTGTTTTAATTGTTACTTCTTGGTACAATAGGTGTTTTAAGTACTTTTAGTCAATAAATCAAGCATTCATTCATTCATTAGATATTTATTCAACACCAGCTATGAGTTAAGGAAATACTCTAAGTAGAGAGTAGAGATCAAACCAGGCAAACCCTTGTTCTTAGTACTTGCAGAGAAGCAAGCAACAAACAGGTGAGCAAATATTAAAATGATTCTGAAGACTGCTAAATGCTATAAGTAAATAAAATAACGAAGTAATAAAGACTTATGAAGACTACTCAGGGTGAGCCTTTCTTTGATGGTACCAAGTTCAATTGAAATATACAGTAAATGTTTAAAGTTTGAAAGTTGTTTTTACAGTAAAAGACACGTCGCTATGAGTCCTCCTCATAATATTCACCCTCACTTCAGGCACATTTATTCTGTCATTCTCACTACTTTCTGAAGAAGTTGTGGAAGTATTCTTTGGTATCTTTATGAAATATGATTTTAAAAATACAATGAATGCTGCCCCCAGTTACCATCCAATGGAACCGCAGGCTTGTGAAAACAATTGCATGTCCTCACCCATCATATTCACAGAGTCTGGCACTGTGCAACTTCTGACTCTTCATCAAAGTCAAAATGACTGTGAAAAGTAAACTTTCTGAATTTATTTAGGACATGGAGGGGCAGCTACGACAGCACAACTAAAAATCCTTACTAAAGAGGACCTCCAGAACTGCTTCAGAAAGTGGCAAGAGTGATGGAATGTGTTTGAAGTGAGGGGGAGTATTTTGAGGGGGATTAATGGCGCTCTATTATTACTGTAATAGACTTTTAAAATTTAAGTGTTCACTGTATTTTTTTATTATACTTATCATTGGAGACTGACTGATGACAAGTCTGCCATCTGAACATCTGACAGAACAACATTCAAAACAGAGGAAAACAGCCCACCACGAACAAGACAGTGTGGTGAGCACTTTCCAGTACTCCTTCCATTAGGACCCCTAATATGTATCTAATTTTTCTGGCCTATTCATTAGAATGACTACTGCCCACAGAATCTGAACTTAAAATAACAACTGACAGAGACTAAAATTTTGGGCAAAACCCAACCAGATAAAATGTGACTGATAGGAATGTAAAATAGTGCATGCAAGTTCACAAACCTAATTCCATGGCACAAAATGCTATCCACATGGCTTGACAGCTGTTCATGTCCAAACAATCTGGGATTCTAATTGACCATAAATCGGAGATCATTCTTTGCTCTTCCAGATGGGGGTGGGGGGAACAATGTAGACATTACCCTTGGGCAGATTCTGCCCCAATTTAAGGTATCATTAGAGTTGTCTAAAAATGGAACAGCCTGTTTTGCAGGTAGAGACCTCACTATTACTTAAGGAGAGACAGACAGAGACAGAGAAAGAGAGAGACAGAGAGACAGAAAAAGAGAGAGAGAGACAGAGAAACAGATAGAGAGAGCCAGAGAATAAGAAAATTTACTCAACAGGACTTTGTATATATGCTGCCCAAGTGAACACTCAACAGGGCTCTGTATAAAAAGAAAATTCTCTATTATTTGGAAACTATTTATGCATATTTTTGGTTTCTGTGAGTCAATATCTTATTGCTTATTTATTTCATTTCAAATTTTTGTCTTCATTTTGAGATGTTTACATATACAGTTAGAAGGAAAAATAATATTAGTATATAAAGTATATGGTGGATTTTAGCTAAAGCTTAGGTTGAAATGGCATCTCCCAAAATAGTGATCAGAAATTTAAAATTCTGAGTCCATAATTTAGAAAAAAGAATTTTAATAAACTTCCTAGTGTATTCTTGGCTAAGTAGAATAATATACATATAAATAAATATATCAAAGGCCTGCTTTTAGCCATGTCACATAGATAGTTCACTATTCTGTAATTCAGTATCCTAAAAATTAGGACAGTAACTCATATTTGCCTGAAGATATTCTCATGAGTATTAAATTAGTGTCTATATACAAACATTTGGAGCAGTGACTGACATAGTAAATTCTAAGCTAGTGCTTATTATTTTTAAAAAAATAAATTTTATTTTATTTTATCCCATTACCCCTTCAAGCCCCTCCCTTCCCTATGTACAAAAATTTTGTTTCCATTTTTTCCTTCTAATTTCACTTTTTTTCTTGTTTCTTCCTTCCTTTCTCCCTCCCTCCTCCCTTGTTCCCCTTTCCATTTGAACACTTTCTTCCCATTTCCCAACATCCAGTATACATCTCAGACCTTATTTCCACATTCAGTATGTCACACCAGAGAAACATATGTGCTTGTTATTATTACTGTTGTTGTTATTAGATGTAAATGTGTGCTCTCTTTTCCCTCCAGGAATTAATGACCAAGTTAATAACTGAGACACCCGACCAGCCAATCCCATTTCTCATTGACCACCTTCAGTCTAAACAAGGAAACCGTGGACAACTACAAAGAGCTTTGTCTGGATCTGCAGCTCTCTGGGCAGAAAGTGAAACATCAGGTAAGTGAACAATATATTTTGCAGTTAATGTTGGCTACATCTAATGTAAAAATTTCAGAAGTTAAAAAAAATCATAATAAGACAAATCTAGATGGATAATTACCTAGGATTTTCATGTATTCATCTTTGACTTTACCCAGATGCTAAAATTTACCATAAAATATTCTTGAATTTGAATATATTGTAATGTATTATGCTTCAAAACATGAAAATGAATGTATTACATTTCAGTAGAAATGATTCAGATTTGGATAAAAAGATTCTGTATGAATTCAAACTAATTATTCTAAACTTTTGTTTTTGTGAATAATTTGAATTGAATGCTTACAGCTCATCTTCATAGAAAAGTAAACAGTAAATGTCTACAAAGTGACACATTTCTTGTTTCCCAAGCTTATGATTATTCTCTATCTCCCCGAACCCAGCATTATCCTACATAGTAAGTTAAACTTTAGGAAGAGTCATTAGCTGTTGTCATTGTGGAACCAACATTTAAGTCTACAGCTGCCTCTTTCCCACATGAATAAGGTACCCATTTTTCCCTTTTGACTTCAGCCAGGGTCTGTTCTCAGCGAGCCAGAGTTCATTGCCACATGTCTTCCTTACCTCTGCAAAGGAATTTCTCTTATTCAAGTCTGCTAACATGGAGTCATAATACAGTCATGACATAGACATGCCAATGCTTTTGCCATATTTTATTGAATATAAGCAGGTCAAAGTTCCCATCTTTTGTTAAGGGGAAAGAATAGTATATGGCATAACACCATGGTACAGAGATTATGATTAAAAGTTACCATATTATTCTATAGGTTTTCCTAGAATTTTGACTCACACAAGCACTTAATGACTCTTAGAGAAGGTGAAGGAGGAGAGGGAATTATTACGCTCTGTTTTCTGATTCAAGTAATGGGATAATGCTCATTTGCTAAGGCAAGATTCGAACACAGAAATAAATTTATAGAGGAAAATACAGTATAAGTTTAATTCCTATTGATGTATTTGAGTTTCTTGTGGAGCATTTTAGCAAACAATCCCAGCATGTAAGTGGATATGATCCTAAAACTCTGAGGGTGGGTCAAAGCTGGAGTCTCAGATTTGGGACTCATTTAGTACCATATCATAAGAACCATGAGTGTGAAAGAATAGAAGATGTGATGAACTTTATACAGTATGTGATGCCCTGGGAAAAGGGAAGTGTGAGATTATTTTGGGTGTCCTAAATTTGATGTTTGTTTAGAAGTGTTTGCTGAAAATAAGAGAGTTGGCATCAGGGGCAGATATTTAAGTGAGTGACACCAGTTCCAAAAACTCACCAGAGAAAAGGAAAAAATAGTTGGAAAAAGAAAAATTAAAAAGGCTATTAGGCAGTCTTGGGACCTAACTTAATTGAAAAATAAATTAATTATTATTACAAAATTATGGAAACCACTAGCAAGATAGTAATTTTTTCTCCAGCAATGTCCAGAAGTATTAGGTAGGGAGAGAGAAAACAGTTTGAGTACTGTTGGACTGATGGAGTATTGCAGTTGTGCCACAACTGGAAGGTGGAGAGTGGAAGAAGAGCTTTACTAAAGAGTTGAGGACACTAGTGAGCAAACTATACAGGCGATCAAGCACGAGGTCTGGCAGGAGGTAGTAAGTGCAGGAAGATATGTAGACACGGAAAGTCTGTCTGAGAGCTAAAAACCTTCAGGAGGTTGAAGCAGTGAAAATATAGAAGGTACAGAAGGGTTTGAGCTGTGCTGAGGTGGTGATATTTGAGACCATGATGTTTGAGTTGCAATGATCTCAGATAATGTGAAGATCTGGTGGTGGTCTTCATTTGCTGCTGTCAGATGTATCAGAGAAGTGAAATTCTTCAGAGTAGAAGGAGCACTTAAGTCTGAGGGTTAATGCATAGTTTAAGGATAAACAGGTGACTGGGGTTTCATCCAAGGCAGTGAAAGGACAAGAAAGACTGTAGCCTTGCACTAGGGCTGTGGGAATTGTCAGAGGTAGAAAGATGGTGATAATAAATAGTGGTGGGTAGTACAGCTAGGCGCACATCCTAGGAGAGAGGAAGCGCTTTCACTTTACTAGCTGAAGCTTACTATTACAGAAGCATTTCTGCACCAGGGGATCCCATCCCTTCTTCCAGAGCCTGTGGGAGTAAGAACTTGCAGGAACAAACACTATTCCAAGAAGTTGCAGCAGAGGGCGCTCTTTTGTGGGAAAAGAGGAGATGTGTGTTAAAAAATGAAATGGAGGAATATTATGGCCCAGGAGAAGAGGACATATTTAAGAGGGAACAGTGTGGCATGAAGGTACAGACAAATTTTCAGTTTGAATAGAACCAAAGAAGTGATGAATTGAGTGATAGTAAATAATGCTTGTTGAAACTTTGATTACAAGGTTTAAGTTCTTTATTTTGGTGCATTTCCAGTGAACTAGAAAATGTCTCAATAGTGAAGATACATGGGTGTAATACTTGTGAAAATATCTAATGATATCATCTTGTTTCCTTGAAATCCATCTACATTTGCAATATTCTTCCCCCTACAAGTGTGTCATTTTATATAGTCAAGGCCAAAGCTAAGAGTGGCTTTATTTTATTCTTTTTCAGAAGTTGTCTTAGTCACTTTCTAGTCACCAGAGACACAATACCCAACACTCACAACTTAAAGAAGGAGAGTTTATTTTGACTCAGTTTTTAGTAGTTTCAGTCTATAGTCAGCTGGATCCAAGGCAGGAAAGTCATGGTGGAAGAGTCTGGGTGGAGGAAAACTGCTCACATCATGGCAGCCAGGAAGCAGAGAGAGAATGGATGAACTGAGGAGGGCTATATATCCTTCAGGGTCACACCTTCAATGACCCAACTCTAATCAGGCCCTGCCTCTAACCAGGTCCCACCTCCTACCAGCACACTCAGCTAGGGATTGATAAGTGTATTGATGAACGTAGTGCCCCAGTGATCCAATTACTTCCCCAAAGCCCCACCTCTGAACACATGAGGCTTTGGGGGCACATTCTTTATCTAAATTATGAAAGAAGTACAGTAAAAAGGAATGATTTTTCTTGAATATTTATTAATTTTTCTTCATTTTTCATATTCAAAAGTTTTACAAAGACATCAACTATGAACTTTCAGTAAAATCAATAGTGTGAAAACTGAGTCATCACTACTGTACTTCCTCTCTCATTTCATTTGGCATTGTATTTGCCTTTCCTATTTTATCAACTGTCTTCTAGGGAGGTGTATTGAATAAAGTGTGTCCTTTATATCACTGATTAAATGTTGGCAGTATCAGTTTTCTTTTTCTGGCTTTGAACACAAATTTAAATGAGGCATTGCACTTTAGTTTCCTGCTAGTGCTTCTTTATCTTATCTTTTTAAAAAATTCTGTACACAACTACATTTTTAATTGTAGTTGTCTTCCTATTTTCTCTCTAATTTCTTTCTGCTTCATAGAGTTCATTTTCTTTTTATTGAGCAGACAAAGCGGTTGTGTTTTGGCGTTTATTTAAATGTATGATTTCTGAACCTTGAATCAATCTTTCTCTCTCTCTTTCTTTCTTTCTTTCTTTCTTTCTTTCTTTCTTTCTCTCTCTCTCTTTCCTTTGTATGGAGGACTGAATACAAACAGGGTCTAAGGTGCTAAATTGCTCAAACTGGAGTGAAAGCTGTGATCCTGATTTCTGGGATTCCAGGCATGCTCCAGCATTCCCACCTTATACTCTTCTTTTCTGTATTAAATTTTTCTTAGAATGATATTATTTTGTTTATTCAAATTGAAATGTGAAGTGTTTTATCTAGTTTAGGTTTCTCATAAATTAGTATAGGTAGAATCTTCTTTGTTGCCTCATCATATAACTTCAAACTACTGGATTTGGATTCTTTTCAAGATTTTGTGTAGGTTGATAATCACAACTCCTGTTGAAAATTCCAGTAATAGTTAAATCCTGTATATTTCTGCAAAGCTGAGGAAATGACTTACTGTTTCTGGTCTCTTTGCAACCAACTACAGAAGAATATCCTTGCTAGATATGAATTAATATACTTTTCTTTCTTGCAAGATGTAGAAATTTTAAAAGTTCACAATATTCTATGTCTTATAGACTCTGGGCTCCTTTTAGTGATCCTTTGTATCATAAGATGTTACATTTTAGAGCCAGAATTCTTTCATCTTTATTACTGGGTATATATATATATTTTTGTATATATATATTTTTTGTTTGTTTGTTTTTGTTTTGTTTTAACAGAAACTAAAGGAACAAGGAGAGATTTCAGAAGCTATGATAAACCTTGGCAATTAAATGCAAAGAAGCCTAAAAAATCAAAAAGTGACCTTGCTGTGTCTAATATTTCTCCCCCATCACCGGATTCCAAATCATGTGAGTAAATTTGTTATTCAAATGTGATTCAGTCAGCCTTTATTGTTCAGAAAATGAAGAAAAGGTAACAATTGCAGTCAGACTTTTTATCTGATATTTCTGGCTGTTAATCCTAATGAATTCCATTTCCATTTCAGCATTAACATCTTACTTATCCTCTCAAACATGTCTAACTGATTTGGATCATTTCTTGTATATTGTTCTTTGAAGACTATAAACTACTTGGAGTGGCCCTTGCCTCTTGTGCCAGTTGCAGCATTATACTACATTAAAGACAAAACCAACCCCACATTTACTGAAATACATAAAAGCAAATTAAATCTTTTAGAGCAGAAGTAGAGGGGATTTCTATTCCAAACATTTAATAAAAAAGAGGTGGAGGATGGCAGGAGGGAGGAAAGTAGAAGGGGACGTAAAAAGTATTAAGATGTGTAATGTGTAGGCACCAACTCCCCACGATGAGTATAATCATTATCTATTACAAATGTTCTAATACAAATTAAAAAAGGAATTAAAGAAAATTTTAAATTCTTTATGTAGGATCCTGCTGAAGTCCTACACATTTCTGCTTATGGCTGAAATCCCTGTATTTATTTTTTCCCCCACTATCCTTAGTACCCTGCTTTCTTGATGTCCCTCCTCCTTTCCCACTGCCTTAATAACCACTAGTTTTCTCCAGTGCTCTGCTACCACATATGTAGACGCTTACTAAATAGCTAAGAAGCCTGCAGCAAGTTTCAATTATTCTTGGAAGACAAGAGCTTGAAACTCTTCCTCCTAGACATTAATTCCTTATGCTTGTTACATAGCAAGATGCTTGTTTTTAATTTCAGCAGGGAAGGGAGTAGGTTGAAATGTTCATTTTTGTTTGAAAATGTTTGAAAAACCATGTGTTAACTGGAATCACTATCTGGGTTACCTGTGAAAGACACTAAAATTAAGCCTGGAGATCTTCATTTACTTAGCAGTACTCATAAGTAGTATTGTCTCACCTAACCAAGTTACTGTGAGGACTGTATGGAATATTTTAAACCTAGTAAATTAAGATTGTAATCAAATTGTTTGGCTTCACAAAGTTAGTATATAAAATTATATCTCAACAATTTTTGAAACATACAAGGGTGGAGAGACAGGAGAGGGAAAAGGGAAGTAAAAAGAATTAAGATATGTTACGTACATGTTTGAATTCTCCACAATGAATGTAATCATTAAGTGCTGCAAATATGTACTAATAGAAGTAAAAATTTAAAAAAACAAGTTCAAAATTTGCATGTCTTATTCATATCAGTATACCTAGTAGTATCTAACACAGTGCCTAAGTTAATTACAAAGTACTAAATGAAAAAAAAATGATTAAATAGAGAAATGAAAACTGAAATGAATCCAATCTCAGTTTCCTTTTCCATCATGGAACTCTCCATCTCTCCTCTCTCCCTTTCTTTCTCTCTGTCTGCTAATGATAACTTTGTGACCATAGCAGATTACTAATTTATATAGCCAATTTTGGATTCCTTCATTTATCACTAAGAGTGGAGTGTCAAAGCCCTGCTCATTCTAAAGACTCTTCTTTTTTTTTGTGGGATGCTACCTAGCTACATGAATACCTAGCTACATAATTTATGGAACTAAAGGGAGATATAGACAGATTAAGTAAACCAGAAAAATCAACAAGGATACAGAAGATTAGAACAACATATTGAACAACTTAGGTTGACATTTATAGAGCACCGTGACCAATAAAGCTGAAATATATATAATTCTCAATTCTAGATAGAATATACAGAAAGATAGAGACTATGGTGTACCATTAAACAGTGACTAAAATTATATGAAGTATGTTTTCTGACAAAAGCTATATTATTAGAAATGTTACAAGAAGCCTAGAAACCCTCCTTGCATCCATGTTTTGAAATTAAAAGGTTCCCATGATAAGTCATGTGCTGTATATGTGTCAATTTATCATAAGCTGCAAAAACTTAACAAAAATGATTGTAGATTCTCTTGCAAGTTGCTGAGGGAAAGTGCTTAGTGGTTGTATCAATTTTCTTTCCAAATTCAGTGGCACTTTATAGTTCCTCATGATTTGGTGTTGCCTGGCCAGTTCTTCCACCGAACTCTACATGGGCACGCACTGGGCTCAGCTGGGGTGGCAGGCAGTTGGGGCATGTCTGGGGTTATTTGGGTGTTGCCTGGGAGTTTTAAAAAAATCTGTGTTCTTGTTAATAAATTATAAAGGAGAGAGAGGGAGAGGGAGAAGTCCTGACATTCATGGTATTTTCCAGAAAATTTGAAAATGCAGAGGTATAGATTACAGATTAGAAAGTATTCAAGGAAGATTAAAAATATAAATTTTTAATCTTTGAAGCATCTGGTACAAATATTGTTTTATTTGCTCCCTCATCTGAGCTTCTTTCTCTTAGGTCTTGACTCATTCTTAGGGACCCCCTGGGGAATGGAGGGTGATAGAACACATCTGGAAGCGTTTTCCAGATTGATCAGTAACTCCACTCCTCACAGCTTGAATATCAGACTGTTAATGTTGGCTGTTCTCTCTATTCCAGAATCTCTTCTATGGAGAGGCTCAGAGGAGCCAACTAAGTTCTATAAATACTTTTTATAAGTATTTTATTTTTAGATTTATTTGAATTATGCAAGTACTACTTTCCTATTTTGAAAACTTAGAAAATATACACATGTAGAAAGATAGTTTTCCTCATTCCTACCCATCAAATTCAGTTCTCCAAGAAATAGCTTTGCCTTTTTGTTTCATTTTCTTTGTGCACACAAGCATATGTAATATGTGTGGGTGATTTGCTATAAAAGTAGCTTAAAATTGTAAACCTTTCTAAGCTACTTATTTTTATTATTTTAAAATGCATTATGGAAATATCTCCATGGTAATAAACTTAGATTTAACTTATAGTGTTAATAATTGCATACTGTGAATGAACCATAATTTATTTAGCCATTCTTCTGTTGAAGGACATTTAGATTATTTCTAGAGTTTTGCCACCACACGATTTGATAAAATAAAAAAACTTTAGTTTCTGTGAAAATGAACAATTTTGTACATGTACAGTATTCAAGTACAGGTGTTTTCATTTCTTTATGATGATTTACCAGACAAAAGATTGCTGTGTCCCCAAGCTAGTGCATTGCTTTTTGAAAAGGTGGCAGAAAGATATGTTTTCATAGTTTAAGACTATTTTCTGTATCCTTGCTACATGAATAATTTTTAAAAATTATTTTATTTTTGTCAACATAAAAGTACATGATTTTAAAAATAAAGTCATACTGTGAAATAGTGGTGTCTTTTTTTTTTCTTGTCTCCCACCTTTGCTCCTAAACTGGGATAACTTTCACCTGTGTTAGAAGTTTCTCTGGGCTAAGTCTATACGTCGGACTACACAAAGTTCCAACACAGTACTTTTCCTTTTTCAACTTGAGGCATCATCACTTGTCCTCCATACCTTGTGCTTCATATACTAATTACCCCCTCATCCTGGCATATAGTAATGCACTTATTTCATGTTGGTTAAATATATATTCTGTGTTGATATAATTATGACTGTTCTAGTTAACGTTTTTACCCTTCAGACTCACCAAGTCCAACTATTGAATTTCTTAGAATGAACAATTTTCTCTCTTCTGTTTTACTTTGTTTTCTATGTACTCATCACTAATGCTTCACCAAACTTTGCCCAAAGAATTAAACCTTAGTAATATGATCAAACACGTCAAGTTATTGTAAGTCCTATGTTCTTATGTTTTGGGCACTTTTTAAAATTCACTGAGAATGATTTGGAAATAAACTTCTCTGCTGCAGCTCTCTGTATTCTTGGTCTACTCTTGGTTTCTGGACTCCTGGGTTCCTAGGCATTTTCTTTGCTGTCTTACGATACCATCCTTCTCTACCATCTGGAGAATTCCTCCTTTCCTTTTCCTTTTGGGAGATCACTTGTTTCTCAAAGTTCATGTCTATTTTTTTGTTCACTTTTCATTTTTTAGAGCATCTCTACTGCCAGCTTTCTGGGAAAGAGTGCTTGTGAAATCTTGAGTTCTTTAAGTATCTTGGTTGATTCATTAGCTGATATAAAATTCTGAGTTAGAAGTTATTTCAAGTCAGAATTTGAAGGGAATTGTTCTGTCTTTTAGAGCAAGTGTTGTTGCTGCTGATCTGATATCAGTTTGATTTGCCGTTTTTGTACCTGAAAGTGTTTACAATCTTTTCTTTATTGTCAGTATTTAAAAATGTATATAATATGGGTTGAATTGTGCTTAACATTTAATAGACCCCTTAAATCTGGAATACACTTGAGCTCTTACATCTGTATGATTATAACATTTTCTCCTGAATGATGCTCTAATATTTAAGTGTGTGGAATGCTTGTTCTCTTGCCATCCCTCTCTTCATGGACTTTGATTTCAGTTTTTCTATCTCACTAAATAGTTACCCATTTTGCATCTTCCAAACATCATTTACTGCCTAATAATATCCTTTGTCCTTATTCAACTAATTATTTGAGAGCCAAACTTCCCTTAAACATAGCATAATTTTAGTGGGAACTTGGGAGGAAGTAAAAGTAAATACACACATTTTATCTTTTTTGTTTTATTAAGATATAGAAAGAATGTCTTAAAATGTGTGTTAGTTGCTCATTAAGTCAGTGGTTACTTTTAAGATGATAACATAAAACAAATTTGCTTTGCCTGCATATTTCTCCCTAAATTACAGAAATTATTAGCTCTAAATCAATACCTTGATATCTTTTTCTTAATACTGCCACACTTCCCCTTTACTTGTTCAGTTAAAAATTTTAACTGACTTTACATCTTTTTTTTTATCTTTCTTTCTGTTAGCTCACAAGAACCATTTGATCTTGATACAATCTTCCACATAATGATGAATAGTGAGTTTCAATCATATATAGCATGCTTATGAAATAACCATTTTTTTTAAACATAGTGCCAAGGTCAGTAGAGCATCCTAGATGGAACTGGCGGACTAAACCAGAAAGCCGTGATTTTGATGAATTGAACCACATCCTTCAAGAGAGCAAGAAGCTGGGGAAAGCCCTTGAGAATCTCTCTCGAAGTAAGTTCATTTACTTGATTATAATTGAAATTCTTAATGCATATTAAAACAGAAATATTCATCACTTTTCCCCATAATCCATTTACAACATCCTTATTATAATTCTGTGAAAGACTTAGCAGTTCTAAAGGTGTGAGATTCATTTTGTGTATTTTACAGATTCATGGGTAGAATGATTATGTAGTGTACAAGAGTAGCAGAAACCCTTATAGCTGTTCGACTCTAGCCACACTACATAGTTTCTGTTATCCATTCAAATGGACATATAATGGCATCTTCTTCATTCTTCTCTTTTGAAATACATTTGATCTTTCTAACAAATAAACATAGTTATTTGCCTCCATGAGTTTTAGATTTCCTTAATCTTAAAGGTGGTAACTGAGCCAGATTCTCCTTAGAATCCTTTCAGAGACTAGCATACTGCCTTGTAACTTACTTTTTGGGAAAGTCTTTTATGAAAGAAAGGTCTCTGTAGTCTGACAGCTTGGGTTAGAGATTTTGCTCTGCCATCTAGGCGGTGAATGACTGCAGGTAAATAAATTAACCTCCATGAAATTTATTTCCCACATTTAAAAGGCAGGAGGACATGATTGTATCTCTTTCTTCTGGTAGATATGAAGGTTTAAAGTGATACATTTCAAGTAAAAACTTTAAATGTTATTATCACGAGAGCAGGCAATCAAATAGGTGTTGTGATTCGATGAATACATTCTATATACATACACATGCATGTATACTTTATGACTTTAGTAGTGAATTCAAAATATTTCTATCTTTCTCTGGCTCTTTAGGTATTTCTCTATTTTAAAAATTAGACACCTTTGGAAGCACATTAATGTCATGATTTCAAAAAATTTTTATTTTAATATTGTGGAATATTAAAGATTTTGTAATGAAAAGCAGAATACTAGAAAGTTGTGGTGGGTTATGTTTTAGGATCTTTATTTCATTTGTTTTTTAGGTAGTATAGCTTTACTAACTTTGTGATTTGTATCAGAGTTAAGCCTTGTTCTTTGCTATAGTTTGGGAGTTTTACAATACACATGTATGTATATATTATGTTATAATTATATTTTACATATAAACATTTATGTATTATATTATACTATATTTACTTATAAGTATATAATTTATACCTCTTTATTTATAACTCACTAGACCCTTTTTGTAGACATTTGTGTGATGAAACCTTTTCAAAAGTTAAGCTACCATATAGTATGATCTTATAACATTACCCCTAGTAGAAACCCTCTGGATGGGATTGAAGAAACTGCTCTTGGCTAGATTTACTTTTGGAGCAAATAATAATAAAGTGAGTTTTCATCTTATTACTATATTATGTTCATGAAAAGAACCTGTCTTAGTAACTTTCCTATTTCTGGGACAAACTACCTGACCCCTACAGAAGAGGTTTATTTTAGTCTGCCATTTTAGTCCATGGTTGGATGGCTCCAAGACAGAAACAGGATGGCAAAGGACCATGGCAGAGGAAAAGTTGCTCAGTCCAGTGCAGCCAGGAAGCAGAGAGAGAAGGTAGCAGCCTAGAACAAAAATACATCCTTCCAGGTCACACCCCCCAGATACCCAACTCAACCAGTCCCTACCTCCTGACAGCACGTTCAGCTACAGAAGTCATAGTGGATGAATCCACTGATCAATACAGTGCTGCCATGATCCAATCAACTTCCAAACACACGGGCTTTTGTGGGACTTTAAATCTACACTATAACAGATCCTGATCCCATTAATACAACAAAGATGCATATTAGTATTTCTAAATCTTACCCTATGAGGTAATTCCTATGGCTTTTCATAGTCTTTCAATTTATTTAATAAGCTGAGCTAAAAGACAGATGATTGAAGAATGTGAATATTACACAGATCTTCAAATATATTGCCAGTTGACTGCTGTCTTTTAAAATGTGTTTTAAAATGTTTGTTGTTAATTTATAAGGCACTACTTAGTTTGCCCCCAAAATTTGAATACAAAGATTGAACTATATTTAAATTATTTACTTACCCAGATTTGTAGCCAAAAGGGCAGAGTTCAAGCTGTGGTCTTTTCCAGAAAACCTAGGTGTGGCCTTCTGGATTATGTTAGCTCATTCAGGCTGTTACACCAAAAGACTATAGAATGAGTAACTTATAAAACAATAGAAATTTATTTTTTATAATTCTAGAAACTGAGAAACCCAAGTCTGCACTGAAAAATTTGGTCTATGGTGAGGCCCCATTCCTTACTTTATAACTGTTTACCCTCTCTGGGTTCTCACATGGTGGAAGGGGCCACGCAGATGTCCAGGGCCTCTTTTATGTTGTCCCTAATCCTGGTTATGAGTCAGGAGCCCTCATTACTTAATCACCGCCTAGCAGGTTCCACCTTCTAATACTGTTATTCTTGAGATTAGGTTTTAACCTGTGAATTTTGAGTGTGTGTGTGTGTGTGTGTGTGTGTGTGTGTGTGTGTGTAGCATGGAGAGGGGAGGACACAAACATTTAGACCATAGCACAAGTAGAGCCTTACATTAGAAGCTCATGATAGCATTTTAATACTTCAGGGCAATCTGGAGAAACAATAAAGACTGACGGTAATCCTTGGTCAGCACAGGAGAAAATCTGCAGTTATGGGGATATGGGTTTTTACTCTTGGGAAGAAGTCCAGGACAATGAAGCTACAAGGAGAGTCTGCAGCTGTACCTGAATAATGTTTAACAGTCAGCTCCTGTGCTTATTATGGATGCTACTTCTGTCTTCACGTGACAGATTTAAGGGACTCTGTTTTGTGAGAGTATGGTGGTATGGTTTATATGGGGATAAAAGAGTTAGTCTCATGGAAGGAATTGTTCTGTTCTCCCTTAAATTTATTTGAATATCTTTCTGAACAAAGTAGTGTGAATTTTAATACTGAATCCCTGTCTTATCCCCACATGTTATCAATAGGCTTGCCATGGTCAGGCCTAGTTCCCCAAAATTCAGCTATGTAATCACAAACTTGAAGCAGAATAGAATTCATTCTTGTTTTAGCTAGTTTGACTCTTACATCATTTCATTTGGAAGCTCCTTCTCTAATTTGATAATAATTTTATTGCCTGTATTAGTCAGCTTTCCATTTCTGTGAGAAAATACCTGAGAAAATTGGTTTAAAGGAGAAAAGATTTATTTTGGTTCACAGTTCAGAGGTTTCAGTCCATGGTCAGCTGGTTCCATTGCTTTCAGGCCTGTGGTGAGGCAGAAACATCATAGTGTGGGGCCATGTGTGAAGCAATGCTGCTCAACTCATGGCAGCCAAGAATCACAGAAAGAGTTTGCTTTTATAACAAAGCCTCTTCTCCCAAATTCACTTAGCTATGAATCCGTAAATAATCCATCTATGAGGTGAGAATCTCATGATCCTGTCACCTCCTGAAGGCTCCACCTCTGAACATTGCTGCACTGAGGACCAAGCCTTCCACACATGAATTTTGGGGGGCAGCTAGGCACCAAACCATACTGCCGCCCATTGTTTCAATTACTAGGAAGACATAGGGATGGAATTTTCCTCTGTGTGTCGTCAAAAGAAATACTGTGCCAGTGTGGTTGTGCATGCCTGTAGTCTCAGCACTCATGTGGGAGCTGAGGCAGGAGGATCACCATAAGTTCGAGGCCAGCGTAGGCTACACAGTGAATTCAAGCCCAGCCTAAACTACATAGCAAGGCTGTGTGTCAAAAAACCAAAAAGAAAAAAGAAAAAGAAAAAGAACGACTACATATCTTGATCCTGTGAACATTTCTCTCCAGTGTCATGGCCATTGATGGGAAGAACTGAAAGTTTTCATCGATATTTTAAATTTAATACTGTCTTTAATGAGAATCATCTCTTTCCTTGATTTCAATTATACATACTGAAAAAGAACTTCCAAAGTTTAGAAGCATTAGTTTTTAACTGAGATTGACACTATTATGGCAGAATTATCTCAGCTTAGCAGCTGTCAGCTTATAGAAACGTATATCACACATTCACACACATTTAAGGCAGGATTTAAATATTAACAAAGAAGACAAGATAGTTACTTTAGTTTGAAAACATGATTTTTGTTTCATTAATAACTATATACTCTTTTTCTGGGTTTTTGCAAACGTTTCCATATAATATTTCATTTAAAAATCAGCCATAAACTGTGACAATCTTCATATTACTCTCTCGTGAGTATAGATGTGTTAGAATCACCATGGCATGTAATGCCACACAATGAAAAACAACAGTAGGCATAGTAAGCTTCTGACACCTAACGTCTTCCTTTTAACATTTCTGAACCTTTGCTTCTCTTTCCCCAAAAGTTTGGCTCTCATACCCATTCCTTCGAGTGTTTGCTTCTATCCAACTTTCAACTAGTATAATTGTTTTGAATAGAGGAATTGTGATGATACAAGACCTTCACATTCCCAAATGCCTCACTTCAGGCTGTGGTTAAAGAACCACAGGGCAGTGTCCTTCTAGGTGCCTATTATCAAGTAGTGTTGTCTCATTATTGTTGTGTTCTTTTGGTTTAGACACTGTGGTTGAATGTATTTTTCCTAGATTACTCTTCCCCTTACTCTGCTCCTTCCTCGTAAATGTGATCTAGCTATCTCTTGATAGCCCCTCAGGGATCTCTCTCTCTCTCTCTCTCTCTCTCTCTCTCTCTCTCTCTCTCTCTCTCTCTATCTCTCTCTCTATCTCTGAGTGTGTGTCTTAGTCTATTTCCTTTTGCTAGTGATACTACTGCAGCCTGTGGAAATTATAAATGAATAAGTTTGTTCTGCTTTGTGGTTCTGGTGCAGTGCTGAAGGGTCACATCTGGTGACGGCATTTTTGCTGGCAGAATCCTGAGCTGCGGGGAGTATTGTGTGGCCAGAGTCAGAGGGTGTTACAAGAGCCCTAACCAAAGTGACTTTTACTTATTTCTAAAATTTTTATTAGTGAATGTTTGCTATTCATCATAGATACATTCATTTTTGAGAATTGGTGCATTTATACAGCA